CTTGAAAATCAATTGAATGTGGGAAATTGAAAATCCGAGCCAAGGATAGTATTTCAGATGACAAAGAAAGTGGAAAATGTAAAAAAACACGAGAAGATTCGGCCACGGATGATTCGACACGGTGTTGCGCGAGCGAACGAGCGAGTGAACCGCGTCTTAAACACACGAACTAGCAATAGGATCGCCGTATGAACAAAAACACCCTGTGGTTTGGAAGTGACGAACCGCAGACCAAATTTTACAGCTGGAACACGGTTACTGTATTTCACTGAGTTTCGTGTTATCCCCGATAGTGTAACGATTTCAGTGAGAGATCGATTTCACCGCAAAGTTGGGGGAAAAAATCGGAAACGCAAGTAGCACTGTAAACAACCTTCACCTTTGGAACAAACAACGAGAACTGTGACAACAGAACTGTCAACTTTACCAGGAGAGGGCAGCGATGACTATACCATGTATTGTTAATGAAACTATGGTACGTATATGGTAAAATTAACACATCGTGTATTTAAGGAATGAACATATGATAAATGCGTTTTCGTTAACATTTCATATAAATTAGAATACAGAATTACATTTTACTACTGTGCATTTATAAAAAAAAAAAAAAAATGTCGTGACGTCACTAGCTACATGCGTCTAAACACTTTATGTTGGGTTCCCGCGCAGCTAAGTGGTTCGCTGCGACGTGAGGGTGTTGGACTTTGTCGCTGGAGACTCGTGGGGACTTAAAGCGTTTTAAGCAGGGGAGCGCTTGGCAAGAATTCTTGCCAAGCGCTGTACCGTTCCCTGCTTAAAACGCTTTCCAAGGCAGGCAGGCCCTCTTCAGTGATGCCAGACATGTGGAAATGTCTTTTTATAAAGTACAAATCATAATAGTCCTTGATGAGCATAGACATATCAAAATAACACACAAAATATCTATACTTGGGTTTTTAAAGCAATATTCCCACCAACAATCTCAGAAAGAGATAACTTATGCACGAGTCGAGGGTGGAGTTTATTTCACCTGCGGTTGGTAACAGTTTGAGCGCGCAATTCAAAACAACTGACAAGCTAGCGCCGCATCAAGATGGCAGAGAAGTAAATAAATCTACCCAAACATCTTAACAAAGCGCTATATTTTCTCCTATATTCATATAAAGTGCCTCTAACACAATGACACACACCCGATTGACAGCCCTTTCATTCTGACGCGTTATCAAAACAAATGAATATCCCTGAATTAAAATATAGGCCTACCCATTCCCATATATCCGATTTTATGAGGTTAAATATAACAAATCATCGAATATAATATCAACAGAAGAATGTTGCTAGAATTTCTCAGACTTTTTCACTTGAAATATTCTTTATTTCATAAAATAGCAGATATATTCTCGATTTAGAAAGACGAGAAGTTTAACAATAAGAGGAAAATTGTTCGTCTTATAATCATTTATTATTCATAAGTAAAACTTTTTATTCCCATAATCTCCATTACCTCCTTTCGTTTTCAGTTAATTTCAATTTCTTTGAATATGATTTTAAGAAAATTACAGAATCAGATACCGTGAAAAAAAAAATTGTTTATCTGGTAAGATATTAAGCGGGGTTCCTGGCCAACGCCCGCATTCGAAGGATCGTGACCAGTATGGTACGCGAACGACGCCGTTGCCATGGTGATGGTACACCGCTTGACTTAGCAAGCGCAAGTCAAGCCATCTACGGAGGGCGCTTGAGAAAGCAAGCGAAATGCTTGAGATAGCAAGAAAAACGCTTGAGATTTCATGCAAGAACTTTCCCTGCTTAAAACGCTTTTAGTCCCCGTGCGGCATTCTGCGCGCCAACTTTTCCTCATTTAACTCGAATAGGTTCGCCTCTGCAAATAAATTTTGATAGCAATGCATGTAGTTTTTCATCGCCTACAACGCTATGATCTTCAATTTTCTCCTAGTCGGTGCGGTCCTATCCTAAACCTTAATACTCGTTTGGTAGTTTCCTCATCCATGTACCTATACTATACGCTAGCTAACTCAATTTAAACCCCCCCCCCCCCTCTATCTGGGATGGTCCCCTTAACCCTCAAAAGGAATAAAAGAAAAAAAATTATTTAGTCTATATATTGAACCGCAAGAGTGAGCTTCTTTTTCTTCAGTGTGCCCAGAAAAATGTTCCGTGCTTTGTTTATCTTCAGTAGAAAACGTAGCAGAGGGGAACTTTAAATATTCAGTAATGCTTTTAAAATAAAACCGCTCTACAAGATCTAAACAATATGCGAATATATTTTATGATTTTTAATCACTCACTTCAGTGATCATTATAATATGTTGTATTATACAGATATCATAGATTCTCATCACGCACACATACACATTGTGGAATTGCGACCCCACACCATTTTTTGGGGTGAATAGAATAATTTTCTAAGAGATTTTGTTGTTTCGAACGAATCTAGCACTCATTTCCTTTTCAAACGAAGCATAACTACGATATCGGTCTCGATAGTTGGGGAGGGTTG